CTTGGTTGAACTACCTCGTTGGCAGTTGCCTGAGTCTTCAACGGTCCACGTCAATGCCATCACAATGAAACGGGCTGTTGCCGCTGGAGCTGACGTGTACGCGGTGGATATCGCAGTGGTGAAAGAAGCAAAGCAACCGAGCGATTTTCAGAAACTACTGGCGGCAATACCACCCGAACTACATGAACTTTTGAAACGGTACCCGTGGATTTTTCCGGACGACTTACCCGAGGGACTGCCACCTCAGCGGGCAGACGATCACCAAATAGAATTAGAACCCGGGCACAGCCAACCGTACAGCGACAATTCAGACTGACACAGCCCGAGCTCGACGAACTGAGGAAGCAGTTAGATTACCTGTTAGAGAAAAAAATCATCCGACCGAGCTCGTCGCCGTTCGCCGCACCAATCCTGTTCACACCGTAAAAGGACGGAGGTTTTCGCATGTGCATCGATTACAGGGCATTGAACAGGGTTACAATCAAATCGCGATACCCCATTCCCCGCGCCGACGAACTGATAGATCAACTGCGAACAGCACGGGTCTTTTCGAAGATCGATTTACGGGGAGGTTACCACCAGACTCGGGTCGAACCATCGGACTGTGCCAAGACAGCATTTAGGACTAGGTACGGGTCATTTGAGTACATAGTGATGCCTTTCGGGCTGACCAACGCACCGGCGACATTCCAGACGACCATGAACGAGGCGTTTAGGCCACTCTTAGATAAATGCGTAATAGTTTTCCTCGACGACATCCTATTCTACAGTCGTGATAAGCAGTAGCACTTAGCACATTTAGAAGCAGTATTTACAGTTTTAGACGAGCACAGACTGTCAAACTTATATCTGCTATAGTCTATTTAGGCTGTAGTGGGGTAGCTCTTAGAGGGTACAACACTTGTGTTTTCTACTTGTACCCATCTCAGTTCCTAGTTGATCCATTCTTTCGTCAATTATCTCACACAGACTACTGACCAAGGGTTCCAAGTGCGAGTTCTTCCAGGATAGGTTAGAATTTTTTGGGCACGTTATTTCGGAGGCTGGAGTTGAAATCGACCCAAAGAAGCTGGACACGGTAAATACGTGGCACCCCCCGACGAACATCACGGAGCTGCAAAGTTTTTTAGGGTTCGTTAATTATGTGCGTCGGTTCGTTCCCGACATGGCACGCTTAACTGCCCCACTGACAGATTTACTGCGGAAAGGGGTCGTTTTTACGTGGGGGGAGAAAGAGCATGCTGCCTTCTCTGCCTTGAAAAATGTTCTCTGTTCACCGCCCGTACTGCGCATCGCCGACCCACACCGCCCAATCGAAGTGGTTACCGATGCAAGCGACATCGCCATTGGAGCCATACTGCTACAGGATTTCGGCAACGGTTTACAGCCCATCGCATACGAGTCACGAAAACTGCATCCGCCCGAGAAAAATTACCTGATACACGATCGCGAAATGCTCGCGATCGTGCATGCGTTCGAAGTGTGGCGCTGTTACTTGACCGGCGCAGACGTGACATTACGGACAGACCATAAATCACTACAGTACCTCCGCGGACAGCCCCACCTCAACCCATGACAGATTCGCTGGCTCGACTTCCTCGAGTCCAATTTTCACTACACGGTCACCTACAAAAAGGGGGCATCGAACATCGCCGACGCATTAACCCGCCCCACGGCCCAAATCCACGCCATACTACTCGCCCATACCAGCCCACTACTGACAGGACTATTTACCCACGGCTATCAGACTGACCCATTCTTCACAGGAGGAAATTCGCAGCAGTTCGTAGCAGCAAAGGGAGTTAATTACGTAAAAGCCGGCACCGACCGAATCTGGGTACCGGGCTACACGTTACTACGAGAATTACTGCTACAGGAGGCACACGACGGAGTTACCTCAGGCCATTTCGGAGTAGAAAAAACACGGCAGCAGCTGCAGCGGTATCATTACTGGCCCGAAATGCTGACGACGTGCAGCGACACGTGGCATCGTGTCCCACCTGCCAACTCATGCAATCATCACGGAAGCGGCAGATAGGACAGTTGCAGTCGATACCACCCCCAGAGCGTGCTTGGCAGCAGGTGACGATGGACTTCATCACGGGGTTGCCGGCCGGAGTAAGTGGGAACGACGCGATCCTAGTCGTCGTTGATCGGCTGACGAAAATGGCACATTTCGCAGCCTGCAAGAAATCAATCACAGCCGAAGAAACAACCCGCCTCTTCATCTCCACCATCGTTCGACTACACGGGATACAAGCAGTGATCATCAGCGACTGGGACACGAAATTCACCAGCAACTTCTGGCTGAACCTGTGGCAGCAGTTCGGCACGCGACTACAATTTAGTTCTTCGTACCACCCTAAAATCGACGGACAGACAGAACGGACGAATTAGACCGTGGAGCAACTCATCCGAGCCACGTGCGACGATCCTACCACCTGGGAAGAGCAGGTGCCAGTCATCGAGTTCGCGTACAACAAATCGCCATCCGCCACGACCCAACAGTCACCGTTCTACCTGAACTACGGACAAGACCCTACAGTACCCATGACCCCGAATCCCGACAACCCAGTACCACGTGCGCAACAGTTCGCAAAAATCTTACAAGCAGCACGGACCAGGGCAGCCGACGCAATTAAAAAGGCCAACGCCATCGCTAAGCGCAACGCCGACCGCCACTGCAGACCTGTCACTTACCAGCCCGACGACCTGGTTTTACTCGACACCCAAAACCTCCGCCTGCCCATCACCCCGAAACTCCGCCCCCGATATTGCAGGCCATTTCGCATCAGTCATATGATCACACCCGTCATCGCCCACCTCCCCCTCCCTGCTGACTGGTACATCAGCCCGTCCTTCCACGTCAGCCTGCTTCGCCCTTATGTACCATCCACCAGCCAACTGCCCCGCAACCGCCCAGCCAGCATGACACTACCGCCGACAGAACCTATCATCACGCCCGAAAAGATTCCGAGCCACCGAATTCGTGACCCACGGGGAGCTCGAAGGGTCGAAATTTTTATCTGCTGGAAAGACCGCACGCCCATCAAAGACAATTGGGTTCCGTTGGACAAAATCGAAAACCACCCCGTCCTCACCAAGTATTTGCGCAGCCGGAATTCCCGGGATGTACACACGCTTTCGTAAGAATGGCCTCCTTCGGGGGGGGGGGGTTGGGTAGTGTAAGGAAAATACCTTTTCCTTACTTAGCATCCCTGCTCAGCGCGTACACCACTGTTTCCCGCCAACAGCACCCCACAATAATCCGTTACCACTTGCGACATTCGCCTCGACACTATTGCCGCCACTGTTCACGACGCGACCCAACCTCACGGTTCGGTTGGTAACCCGCGCTCCGGGCCTCTGCCTCGACAATCCCCAACCTCGGCGCTAGGCCCATCGCGCACCTCAATTTCCACACGTTACCGTTGCCACTGTAGCTTCGCTATATATTATTCCTCAATCCTTCGCTCATTGTGTTTTTGTCTCGATAGTGCAATCCTCGCTTGCTCACTCAATTGCACTCGTAACAGTGTGAAATAACACAGGTTGAATGTTTCTGTCTATAATTCGATTAAGTAAAGATCGCTACTGTAATTAGAGTATGCAACAAATGCTAGTTTTATTTTGTCAATTCTAACTTCATGTATTCATGTGGTTAAATGGGCAGAATATCAAAATAAAAACGCTAAACTCATTGGAGGAACGTGGATCTGGCAAGATCTGCAGCAGAGGAATCTCAAAATAAGCCTGCTGGGTTTGTGCCTGGCAACTTCCTGTGGCGATCTCTTTTGTGTTGGCTGGGTGGGATGGGGTAGGGTTGGGTGGGTTGGGGAGGTGTTGGAGTTTTGCTGCTGGACGTTCACTGGTTAACTTATGACCAGACGATTCAAAGCAGGTGGGTTCCCGCGCTTTCCATGGTCGCGCCGGCGAATTAGATGCAGACAGCAGACAGCAGAACAACATTGCAACTTCCCGCCAATGGTTCGAGCCTTATCTCTTCCCCTAGGCCAGTTGGCAACTCTTTGCTTCCCGAGCCTTTTTCAAACTGTGCTTTCGCGCCAGTTTCTCCAGCTGAGACGAGCAGCTATTGGTTCGATTCTGAAAAAGCCTGCCATGGGCCAGCCATGGTGGCACAGTGGAGTACGAGTGGTCAAAGTTGGGCAGTCGGTCCCGTGGGATGGGTTTGGCCCAGTCAAACCCAGGACTGCACTGCATTCTTCGAAACATCGGCGCTCTAGGAAAGCATTTTCAAGGCAGGATTTCTCCTCCCCCTCCCCGGACCCCGGTCCCCGGACCGGACCCCGGACCCAAGCATCCCATTCACCCCGCCAACCGATGTTGCCCAGGAGCACCCGAACAGCCAGACTTTCCCTCCCCATCTTCCTCAAAACCTCCGGAAAAAAAAAAATGCCCTCTGTTTCTTCATTGCCAACCGCCTGTGAATCTGTGATCAACTCAGAGTCCCTTTCCCCCTTCCCCTCACACTGGCGCGGACCATCTCACGTGTGTTGGACCTTCACCTCACCTCCCCCCCCCCCCCCCTCTCCCTCCCCCTGTGTTGACGGATTTCCCCCTCACCCCACCTCAAGGCTCTTCCTGCTTCCCACTGCCAGATCACATGTGTATCACAGTCCGGCGGGCACCAGCGCAGCAAAGCAAATCTCCTCCCCATGACCGCCAGCGCTACTGCAATGCAACGCGAGGAATCTCATCCTCCTCTCATCCCATCCCGTACTGCTGCTGCAACTTCCCTCCCACCTTGGCTTCCAAACCGTCCGACTCTCAACCGAGGGGGTTTGCATCCGCCCTTTACAACCCCCAGATTCCGATCAACCTTCTCCATCGACCGTTTTTTTACCGCTCGCGTTAGTCATTGAACTATCCAAACCGGCGGTTTTCCCTTCTTCGGCAAGGAGACATGAAGAAAAATGCCATCTCTCTCACTGTCTTGAGTCCGGTTTTAATCTGAAAAGGAAAGGGTTCGTCGTTCCGGAATGGCAGCCATGGTGGGTCCATCTACCCCTATGGGGTGCGTGCACCCCTCCTCCGCCTCTTGCGATCCATTAGACGAAGCAAAGCCGTCCAAGCCACGCCTCTCCTCTCCCATGCAAACGCAACCCTTTCCGCCTCTCTCCCTCACTGACCGCATTCCCAGGCCACCAGCGCCAACAAACCCCGCGGCAGTGCAAAGCTCCGCCGCAGCCGTACCCCCTCTCCCCCCGTCCCTTCACCAGAGCCTTTGCCAGAAGGTCCTTCAAGCGCGAGATGCGCAAAGCAACATCCCGTCATCCTCTCCCCCAATGTCACCCGCCTTGAAACCGCTCTTCCTCTCCCCCATGTCTCCGCACACGCCTCCGCTTCCGCCCTTCGCGTCCGCGAGCCCTGTCGTCACGCCGTCGCTGCATCCCGCGAGCCAAACGCCGCAGGCTGGCAGAGGGGCTCCAGGCGTCACGAATCTGCGACAGATTCCTTCGGGCGCGGATGAGCGCACATATGGTGGCATGAAAGTCGGCATGTACCATCCGGAGCAGGAGAATCTTTGCCGGTCGCCGTCTTGGTAAGCCGGAGGAGGCGTCTTGTGTTTTGCACTGGAGGTGAAGGATCGGAAAAGTAACGCCTTGAGAGGAGGATTCCAGCCCTTCCGGCTACTGTTCTGGATCTCTTCCCCATCTCACGACCTTTCCTGGACGACACGCTAGAAAATCTTACCATTTCCGCCTGTTGTCTCTCTTCTCTCCTGCTTCCCCGCGTCTCCCGCTCCTATGTCATGACCGCAGGCCCAGCCACAAGCGCAAGCGGCACGAGGTGCAAGACTGGCCACCGGGCATCCCGTGCGGCGCCCTGCGCATGACCGCCGGGTGCCCGTCCCCGCATCGCCTCAGCAACTGCAACAGCCCCGTACTCGGCGCGCATGCGCCCGCGCGGCCGTTTGCGAGCGGAGGGTCCGCGGGGGAGGGCATGGCGGGCAGTGGCGGCGATGGGTGGACTCCGTCGAAGAGTCCGCGGTTGATGCCGCAACATATGGTGCGTCGGAGGAGGAAGGTAGAGCGAACACTGGTGCTTCGAACGGTTAATGTCACGGCCTTGCCTCCCGTGTCGCCGTCATGGCTCGTCATGTCGTGTTACGAGACCTCATCCCGATCTTCTTTTTTCTCCTTTTTTTCTCTCTGTCGCTCTGTCTTCCAGGATTCGAAAGCGACTGAACGATCTCCCCGCTCAGGGCGCTACGATGCTGCTGCGGCTGTGGGATTTAGAAACAGCCCTGGAGCACCGGGCCACCACCAGCAGCCGCCGCCGCCGCTGCAGCAGCAGCAGCAGCAGCAGCAGAGCATGTCTCCCGCATCCGCCGCGCGTCTCAACAGAAGCTATTCGCAGCCCACCCTGGTTCACCAGTCGCAAGGGCAGTCGCAGCAACGCACCGCGCGCTCTCCCCAGATGCTCAGCCCCTTCAGCCGTCCTCAGCCCCACCCTCACGCGCAACCTCAAGCGCACCCTCATGCGCACGGACCGTCGTCTGCTCCGCACGAGCTGCAGCAGCATCCGAGCCCATCTAGCACACCACAACCGCCGAATCCTAACTATGGCGCTCCGCAATCTGCGCCGTCCCGCGCGCCGTCGCCTGCAGCGGCAAGGCCATGCCCGCCGTGCCCCTCCCCGCTCATTTTCCCGCAGCAGACCCCGCACACTCACAGCTTGCAACCCGCGCAGGCGCCCTCCGTCCCCTCCAGCCCTGCGCCGATGTCTTCCCCCAGCCTCTCCGGAAAGCCCGCGCTCGTGCCCATCGCTCCGCGGAAGATTCTCCCCGCCGCCCCCTTGGTTCACCCAGGCGGCATTCCGCCGGTGGGGCAGAGAGGCGCAAAGATCCTCGGACTCATGGGGCTCAACGTCGCGCCCGGCGCGCTCCCCAACCTCATGGCGCATCCCCCGCAACTGGGGTCCATGGGGGCGCACGTGGGCGGGGTGATGGGCATGGGCGCGGGGATGAGCATGGGTCCGCCTGGCTCGTTCCCCTCGTCCTCCCCGTCCGCTCTCTCCCGCTCCCAGAGCATGACCACCAGCAGGGTGCCTGTTCTCCCCTGCCCCTCCGCCACTGCCGCCGCTATTGCGCGCGCGCGAGCGTCAATGCCGCGGAGCCTCAGCGCGCCGCGTGTGCTTGCTGCGAACGGCGCTCCTGCTGCCTTAACTCCTACTGTTACCGCCGTGAACGGTGCTGGTGATAACCTCGGCACCGGCAGCAGCGGGGGAGGCCCCATGATGGGCTCGCCGTTCCTCTCGCCTTCCCTTGCCAGCAAGCCGTCTCACATCGCCGGAATCCGTCAACTCTGCCAGTCCCCTGCCGTCGCGCAGCTTCCGCCGCCCGCGCTTCCCATCCACGCGCTGCCCCCGCTCGGAGGTTCTCCCGCAGTTGGCGCGGGGAGCGCTGGCGCGGGCAGCCAAATGGGGGCTGGTGCGAACATGGGCGGAACGAGGGCGGGTAGTGTGAACGCAGTAGCGCCAGCAATGCGGCAGGCAGGCATGGCATGGGTGGACCGGCTTTCGAATCTGGCGCACCATCATGCCAGCAAGCAGCAGCCGCAGCAGCAGCAGCAGCACAACAGGCAGCAGCCACAGCAAACTCAGCCCGTGCAGCAGCAAGAGCGTGTGGCAACAGCGACATGCAGCTCCCCTGCGCCCCGTACAAGCAGCGTGACAGGCGGCGGTGCGCCCACGGATGCATCGGCAGCAGGCAGCCAGGCGGGCAGCGGAGTGTGCGCAGCAGGGAACGAGCAGCGCACGGCAAAGACCTCCATTCCGGAGTCGATTTCAAGGAGCAAGGGAGCGAGTGCGTACGAGAGGGACAGCCGGGGAGAGGCGGAGGAGCAGTCGAAGGCGGCTGCCGCAACGCAGCCGGCAAGCCCTAGCTTGGTGAGCAGGAACGTGCCGCTGCAGCAGGCGCCGCATCAGAAGTGCTCACCCGGTGGGTTCTCTATTGGGCCTGGCCTCGCTGCGCTGCAGCGCAGCCCCCTGCCTACTGTGCCGGAGGCGCATGTGGATGCGGCCCCTGATGCTGCCGCGAGTCTGCACAAGTGTGAATCCGTGTGTGACAGCTCCGTGCCTGCCGTCTCAAACGCGGGTCCGCCTTCTGCGTTTGCTGCTGATGCTGCCAATGGTGTTGCTGATGCTGCTGCCGGTGCGGGTAGTGGCACTGCGTACACGGTGGTGGCGCAGCAGCATGCACGCAGGGCAGAGGAGAACATCAAGACGGAGGAGCAGCTGCAGGTGCACCAGCAGCACCACCCTCCAGTGCCTAAGCAACCATCGAATTCACAGGAACAATCTTTGCTTGTGCTCAAGCCTGAGTATGAGCAGCAGAATCAACAGCAGCTAGGCAAGGTGGAACACGGGGAGAATCCACCGCCGCCGCTGCAGCAACTGGAGGAGCAGCCGACCCAACAGTGCCAGCAGCAGCAGCAACAGCAGGAGGAGGAGGCTTCCCAGAGGCAGCAGCATGAGGAACCACTGCAGGCAGCGAAAGCAGCGATGGTAAAGGCAGAGGAGGAGCGACAGGCACTGCTGGAGAGCCCCGACAAGCTGGACTGCACCATTGCACACACAACCCCCCAGCTAACGTCTCTCCCACACCCGCCCTTGGGCTCGCAACCTCCTGCCACTGCTGCTCCTGCTGTTGACGCTGCTCCCTATGCGCTGCCGATGGCGGCTGCTGCTTCGCCATCCGCCGTCGCAGCACCTGCTGCTGCTGCTGCACTCCCTGTGGGTCAGCCCGACTCCATGCCTGCCGGCCTGGGTGCTTTCCTGCCGCCTCTCTTCTCCAACGAGCTCACCTACCCGGGCTGGCCTGCAGCAGATGAGTCGCTGGGAGGGGCGGGCGGCGAGGAGGATGGCGTGACGTGGACGGATGCAGGGCTGATGAGGGCGGAGGACATGGAGGCGAACGAGATGGAGGTGCTGGAGTGGTGCCCCGATGGCTCTGATGGTGTCTTTGCGGTGGACGGCGAGTACTACTCCGTGCCTGGCGGTGCTGCCATCATGCCCTCTCATGCGGAGCTCAGCGTGTTGCCTGCTGGACCCGGGCCTGTTGCTGCTGCAGCTGCTGGTGTGTCTGTTTCTGACCCTGCTGCGGCCGGCTCTCTGGCTGTTCACGCAGGTTGGCCTGCGGTCGTGCATGTTCCCAATCAGCAACCCAGCTTCAACGCCTGGCACGCTCCTCTGGCTCCGTCGCCCCAGGCTCATGCCTGCATGCCGCCACCGTCCTTTCATCCCTCGGACCCATCAGGATTCAATCCTGCTGCAGCTACCGCGGGCGCAGCAGGGTCTGCACAGAGCCATGGCTTTGCAGCGAGGGGCGGAGAGCAGGGGATGCATATGGAAGGGGGTGAGGAGGCGGTGGGTGGTCTTGAGTGCACTGACAGTGTGGTGCAGCTGTGGGGTGGCTGTTGGGGAGGAAGAGAGGTCCCATAGTGGGTCGCACATGCTGTGCTGGGAGGGCTGGGTGTGGCATGTACGTGGGTTACGGCGGGAGGTCAAAGGAGAGTGGTGGACAGGTATGCGCTGGGTGCAACACCATGTGCATGGTGATTGTTGCGCATTTCTGCTTATTCTTGCGTCATGTTTGCTTTGTGTGTTTCATTCTGTGAGTGCATGAGTGTGCGTGTGCGTGTGTGTGTGTTCTTGAGTTAGTCTTTCGTGTGTACATGTACGCCTGTGCATGCGTGTGTGTGAGTTTGTCTATTTCTTTTTATGTATGGAAGCTCGCGCATCCATGCGTCACCATACTTGCCCTACCCTCCGTCACAGGCACAGCAATCGCTGGCCCCCGGGGGTAGGGCACCATGCAGCGTGCCTGATTTATATCCTTGGCATGTAGCTACTACTATACACTGAAATACAGCCCACAGCCCTTTTCATGTTCCCCTGAAGTCCTGTCAAGAGGAGACCAGGCTGTGTGCTCCAAGGGTACAGCTGGAGGGGGATGCACACTGCATGTGCTTGCAATATTTCAAGTTGCTGGCTTCAAATGGTGGTGCAGGGTGGGTGGATTGATGGCAGATATGTTATGACTTTCATTGTAATATCTATTCCTGTACCTTCTTCTTTTGTAATGCTTTGGAATGCTACCTGTGTTTCAACATTAGTCCAACTTCGTTAGCTGGCGCAAGAATCATAACGCAATATAAGGAGTATGAATCATGGACGAAATGAAAGTCACTATCTGCTGCAAGTATGCAAAATGTGTTAGTGTTTTGAAAAGCATTCTCTTCATATCCACCCAGATACAAAATCGCAAAACCTTTGCGATGCTTTCTGTACTGGATCTTCGCCAGGATTGTGCGGGAAAGCTGACACCAAGTCAGTCGGATGCGAGCGAAACTGTTTCACTAGTGCGACAACACCTCCACTAACCATTTCATTTTGCTGTCATGCGCGCATCTCGCTGTCACCTCCCTTTCTCTCTTTATCGCTTTTATCTCCCACCAGTTTCTGAAATTCAGATATTCATGTATGCTTCGTCAGACTTGCCATTCTGCTTCCCGTGATCCATTGTTTCCACGAGTTTTACGTGCAGAACCCTAACCTTAGCAACACAGAGTTTCGAGCTTTTTGTTCTTGTATCATTCCCTCGTTCTTGGAGCACTTTGATGGGTGTTTCGCTGGTAACGAGCACCGATTGTTCCGCGTTCTCTGCCCATGCCGGCCAGCATTCACCAGAGTTCCCGCGGGGGAACCCCGTTGGGGAGGCCTCGCCGCATAGTGCACGCTAAGCGATCCGGTCGGGTTGCCGACGTGGGAACGGCGAGCAGCGATGCGCAAGCACACGCAGTATCCGGCAAAAGGCTCTCCTTCATGGATCTTGATCCAGAGACCTCGGATCATGCGCACTCGCAATCATCTCAGCAGCAGCAGCCTTCCTCTGCCTTCCCTTCCGCCGCGTTCACCTCGCCCTTTTCCGTTTTCGGAGCAGCCGAAACGCCGCTAGTAACCCCAACCGGACCGTCTGTAGCCGGGTTGGATCCCGCATCGATGGATGCGAAGAAGCCTGCGAAGGTTGCAACGCATGAGCCGCCGCTGTTTCGCTTCGGTACGGGGGGAACCGTGGCGCAGGCGCAAGCGCAGGGATCGAGGCCGTCCGGGGACTCGGCCGGCGCGCCGTCACGGGGCACGCATAGTCGGAGGGTTGCGCGAGGGGGATGGAACCGGGGGAGAGGGAAGGGTGCGAGCCCCGAACCCATGCTCACAGATTCCACCGAACCCGCCCGTGACGTGCCTGGTGGTCAGAGTGACGCCGTGGGTGGCGCCGTAAGTGACCGCGTGGGTGGCGGCGGGGGTGACGGCATGGCTGGTGTGGCTACGAACGGATGGACGTGGCTGAAACCTAGCAAGGTCGCCGGCGGGTCCGCTTTTGAGGTGAATCCAGCAGCAGGGTTCTCTTTCGGCAATGGCGTTTCCGCACCTCGTCCGCCATCCCCAACGGCGGGAACTGCTGCTGGTGATTTGCCTGACGATGGCCATTCAGGTGAATCTACCGAGTCGTTTGTAACAGCTGCTAGCGCATCCGTCTCTACCGCGTCTGCTGCCTCTGCTGCAACCGCCACTGGCGATACCGCTGCGCGTACCAGTGCTGCTGCTGCCGCGACTGACGCTCCGTCGTCTGCGTCTACGTCAGCCAGCGGCTCACCTGCCGCGGGTAGCAGCGCGATGCCCTTTCCATCGTTCAATATCTTCGGATACCCTCGCCCTCACACATCCGCTGCTTCCCCCTTGCCCGCGCCTGCTCCGCTCTTTGGGACCGCCTTCCCCGTGATCTCTGCCTCCTCCGCCTTCCCCTCGTCCGCCTCACAACCACCGTCCGTGCTTCCGCCTCCATTCGCCTCGTCCCTGTTTCACACCTCCCAAACCCCGCCGCTTTTCTCCTCGTCAGCGCCCTTTGCGGCGGGGCCTCCTGGGACCATACCGCTCTTTTCCTCCTCCTCCTCCTCCGCCTCCTCCTCCGCCGCCGTCGACGCTGCGCCAGTGTTCCAAACGTCAGCTGCAGCCCCGTTCGCGGCAGCAGGCGCGGTGAGGCCGCGCATGGCATCGGAGGGCGCGCGCGCGGGCGGGAAGAAGGTCAAGTCGCGCAGCTCGCGGGTGGCAGGCAAGGCGGGGACTGCACAGTTTGCAGGGGCTGCAGCTGCTACTGAGGTGGGTGGTGGGCAGGATGCGGATGAGATGGTACGCGATAATGGTGGTGTTGGAAGGGATTCGAGCAGCGGAGCAGATGCGGGCGATGGTGCAGCAATGGCGGGTTCTGGGATACGAGCAATGGCTGCAGAGGGCGATGTCCACGTGCAGGACAGCGCCGCACCTGAACCTCCTCCTGCTGCCGCCGCGGCTGCTGCTCCTGCGGCTGCTGCTGCTGCAGCGGCTGCTGCGGCGGGGGCTGCTCCTGTTGCGACTGCTGTCCCGCCCGTCTCCGCGTCTACAGCAGCTCCGGCCAAGCACGAGCGCAGTGACGCCGCGAGCAGTGGGGGCGCGCAGCCCTCCCCTGGCTTCGTCTTCGGCGCCCCCCCCGTCCCCTCCGCGCCCGCGCCCACCATGCACTTCGACCCGCTTCCCCGCGCCAACCCCGCGCTCGCAGGTACAAGCGGAGTACCTGCCGCGCGCCTTGCCCCGCTGCCTGAGGTGGTGTTTGGAGCAGTGGCAGAGGGACACGTGGCAGCACAGGAGGCCCGCGCAGGTACGCCGGGAATTCGTAGGAGGGCGATGGTGGGCAGGCGGGCTGGCGGAGGGAGGGCTGCTGCGCGGGTGGGGAAAGGTGCGCGCGGAGTGGGGTCGGCGGACGCGGCGAGGTCGGCGGACGCGGTGAGCTTCGCGACAGCGCCCGCAGATTCGAGTAGCGCAGCAGCAGCAGGGGCAGGGAAGGCAGGGAAGGAGGAGGCAGACATGGGGTTGGGGCTGAGCCTGGGGCTGCGGCAGTGGGGTGTGGCTGAGAGCTCTGGAGAGAAGGATGGCGCAGGCAGTGGGGCGGGTGGGGTCCGCGTGCGGATTGGGGAGGGGCAGATGCGCGCAGAGGAGGTCCGTGGTGGTGCGGATACAGCAGCGGATGGGGAGGAAGGCGAGAAAGGGGAGCAAGAGGAGCAAGGGGAGAAAGCGCAGCAGGGGGAGGCGAGGCACGCAGAGGGCGTTGCTAGGTCGCGAGAAGATGAGCAAGAGTCGGAGGGGCGGGCAGGGGAGAACGGTGAGAAGCGCCCTGCTGAAAAGGAGGCTGGTGCGGCGAGCGGCACCGAGGGAGCAGAGGAGAGGCGGGTTAGGGAGGAGCGGAGGGAAGCGGTGGGTGGAGAGGCGAGTGTGCGGGCGATAGGGGAGAGGATGGCAGGGGTGGAGATCGGTGACAGTGGGTTGGCGGCTGCAGTGGCGAGCGTGCAAGCAGAGATGGCGAAGATGGCAGTGAGAGGGGTGCTGCCTCACGCCCCCGAGAAAGACGTGTTCCCTCCTCCTCCTCCTGCTTCTGCTTCTGCTTCTGTTTCTGCCCCTGCAGCTACTCCTACAGCAAGTGGCATGAGTACAACGACTACCGTTGGCAGTGGTGCTGATGGTGGTGGCACGGGAGTGCGCACAGGGCTGAGAGTGGAGACGGCAGGAGGGGCGGGTGAGGGGAATGAGGGTGAATCGAGAGTGAGGCAGGTGGAGAGTGTGGTGAGCCGGTTGCAAGAGCTGAGAGTGGGTGCTTGTGGTGAGCAGGGCGGTGGCAGGGGAGAGGAGGGTGGTGGTGAGGGAAGGGAGCAGCATGAACAGCGGCGGAAGGAGCATGAGCAGCAGCAGCAGGAGCTGGTAGACGAGCAACTGGCGAGGTTGAAACTGTCAGTTGAAGCTGCTGTGGGTGGTGGTGATGGTGCAGACGAGACGGGGAGTGCGAGGGGGCAGGAAGGAAGCGGAGGAAGCAACGCAGCAGCAGCAAGCAGGGAGGGAGCCGCAGCAAGCAGGGAGGGAGCCGCAGCAGCGGCAGCAGCAGCTGTCGCAGCAGCAGCAGCGGCTGCTGCCGCCGCGGCAGCAGCAGAGGAAGATGCAGAAGCAGCAGCAGCAGTACCGGATCTCCTAGCTAACCTCAATCTCAGCTCACTCCCGCTCAACTTACCAACCGGCCCAGGGTCCGACGAGAAACTCAAGCTGTACATGGATGGGCTAGCGTCTGGTCTCAGACTCGGGTTGCGCCTGGGGAGGGAGTCCTCTGTTGGCCCAGGCCCCACTGCTGTTGTTCCCCCAGGGCCCTTCACTCCCCCAGGAGCCGCTACTGTGTCCCCAGGGCTTTCTCCTCAAGGGCTCAGCACTGCCTCACCACCTCCACAGCCGTCTCAACAGGCTTCTGCGGCAAGGCAAGGATGGCAAACGGCCCCCCTTGATGCATCTTCGCCACCTGCTTTCGGTGGGTTTGCTGCTGCCACACCGCCGCTCAACACCACCCCTGCCTTTGTCTTTTCAACCCCTAACCCCAACTCCCACATCCGTTTTTCTGGCCAGTCGTCGCCGTCGTTCCACACCCCACCAACGTCTTTTGACTCATCCCCTGCACCAGTCCCCTCCCCGCCTTCCTCATCCACACCACTCTTCTCCACGCCCTCCGCCCCCCTGCTCGGCTCAACATCTGCAGCAGCAGCACCTGCTGCTGTTGATGCTTCTACAGCTGGGTCGGCAGCTCCCGTGTTCTCGTTTGGGGTTGTAACCGCACCTGGTACTGAGGCTCCTCCGTTCGTGTTTGGGAAAGGGACGAGGGTGGGCGCAGAGGGAAGTGGTCACAGGGGGCGAAGCAGGGCTAGTGTTGACAGAGCCAAGGGGAAGCCCTCGGGGGACCAGACTCCTCCTCCTGCTGCTGCCGCTGCTGCTGCTGCTGCACCACCTGCTAGGGATTCAGCCCCTGCTGGTGCGACTGCTTCGGCGCCTGCTGCTGCTGCTGCTGCAGCAACCCTGTCATCATCGTCAACAGCTGCAGCAACAGCGGCAGAAGCTGCCTCCCCCGCCGCCACAGCAGCACCCGTTTTCCAGTTCGGGTCCACCCCTGGAGCACCATCTGCACCTTTCACCTTCTCCTTCACGTCCCCTCTCGCGCGCTCCTCGTCTCCGTCCACTCCCTCCACGCCCGTTTTCACCACCCCGCCATCAGTAACGCCGCCCGCAACAGGCAGAAGAGGGGGAAGCCACCAGAGAAGCTCTGTGGGAAGTGGTGCTGCAGGGAATGGTGCTGCAGGACATGGTGCGACTGGTAGTAGCCCCAGCCCCATGGATTGCTCTCCTGGCGAGGGGGACATCCCTCCTCGCGCCACAGGCGAAGGGGTGTCAGGTTATGGTGCAGGTAGTGGGAGCAGTGGGAGGAGGGAGAGCGGTGGAGAGGCTGCCAAGGGACCTGAGGTGGATGGTGTTGGAGCGAAGCTGGAGCAGATGGGAATACGGGAGGAGAGGGCGAGGCAGGGGGGTGGAGATGGGCAAGGCGTGCAGCACGGGGAGCAAGAGCAAGAGCAGCAGCAGGAGCAGGCGAGGGGGTTGTTTGAGGATGTGGGGTTGTTTGGAGCGACGGGAGCAGCGGCAGCGCAGGCGAGAGCAGCAGAGGTTCGATTGGAGGACCTGGCCGGGTTCAGATTCGTAGCAGGGGCTGCTTCCCCAGGCGCTAGAGGCGCAGCAGGGGCTGCTTCCCCAGGCGCTAGAGGCGCAGCAGGTGCTGCTGGTAGCGCGAGGCACAGCCGCCACACGCCGCACCGCATGGCACAGGGGAGCAGGAGGGGGAAGGTGTCTTTGAGGGATAGAGGTGCTGGTGCGGCGGGTGCTGCTACCGGTGGGGGTGGGAACTCTTCGCATGCAGCTTCGGGTGATGGGCCTTCCTCCGCTGCTGCTACTGTTAATGTGAAAGCCACGGGTGACACTGCAAGGTTTAACCGCTCTGCTGCTGCTGCTGCTTATGAAGGGGCGAGTGGTGTGCGGAAGGAGGCTGGGGCAGGAGTGGCAGGAAAGGGAGAAGAGCCTGGAAGGGCAGCAAGGAGAAGCATGGAGGGAGCAGCCAAGGACGCGGAGCAGTCGTGCGAGAAATGGCGGCTCAAGTACGTTTCTGCTCACTCACAGCCCTTTCATTTCTTATCTCCGTGATCGATATGCTCTGGTTTGTCCGTTTTGCGCTTGCCCTCATCCACCCTGCCCTTCCCTTCTGCATCCAATCTAAGCCTCTATGCCACTCCCTCTCTCCTTCCACCTGTCTATTCACCACCATCCAGCACTCCCCTTTCACGTCTGCCATCCTCACCATTCCCGTTCCTCCTTTACCCCTCTGCCACCCACACCCCGACCTCCACCCCCCGCCTGCCTTACCTCCCCCAGGGGCAACCAGGTGTATGGCAAGGGCGAGTATGCAAGAGCAGAGGATTTCTATTCGCGTGGGCTCAGCACAGCAGCGGCCTTCAGAGCGTTCCCAGATTGCATGCATGCTGCCATGCTGTGCCACAGCAACCGCGCCGCCACTCGCAAGCACCTGGGGCGCGTGCGGGAGGCTCTGCGCGACTGCCGTGCTGCGCTTGCCATTGACGGGTCGTTCTCGCGCGTGCTGTTGCGCATGGCCAGGTGCGTGGTGGTGGAGTGCGGTGGGGTGCGGTGGTGTGCGTTGTCAGACACAAGACGATGTTTTCCGCTTAACGTGATGCTCACGTTTCTTCTTCTCCAATGCTCCCTTTCCCTGCACCCCCCACCCCATCCTCCCCCTCCTCCCAATGCTCTCCCCTGCTTTTTTACAACATCCCCATCCCCACCAACGGACCAATCCCCAGCTGCCACCTGGCGCTCGGTGATCTGCGAGAGGCACGGCAGGTGTATCTGTCTCTAAAGAAGCAGCCCTTGGGATTGCCGCAGGGTGGGGCAGGCGGAGATCCCAAGGTGGCGCGCGAGGCAGAGCAAGGGCTATTGCAGGTGGAGCAGGTGGAAGGGAGCATGGGGAAGGCTCTTGCCCTGCTGCGAGTGCCTTCACATGTCTGGCCTGCAGCTGTTGCTGCTGCAGGTGGTGTTGGCGGGTCAGGGGCAGCGGCAGAAGGGGGCGCGGGGGGGATTTTGCGGTCAGCGTCAGCAGGGGCGGTGGGGGGGGTGGGAGCAGGCGGGGGAGCAGCAGGAGCAGGAGGGGCGGCGGCAGCAGGAGCGGCTTCGGGGGTGGTGATGGGGAAGGAAGCGGAGGAGGCGTATGGGCTGCTGGAGAGGGTTGGGGAGGTGTGTCCGTACTGGGAAGTGCTGCTGTGCTCCAAGGCACGCGCTCTGCTGCTCGTGAGTGCCAGTGGGGGGAACGTGAGAGGTGGGAGGGGAGGGGGGGGGAGGAGCGACACAGTGGGAGGTGGTGTTGGGAATGTTGGGGCATTCTGTTGGGTTTGAAGTTTACCACCAAGTTGTCTTGTATGGCTCTCCCCTGTTGCTATTTGCCCTCCCCTGGTGCATCCACTCTGTCATCCCTCTCGTACCCTCTCCATTCTCGTCACTCACCCTTGCCTTTGTGCCTTTCTCCCATGTCTCCTGAATATCTATCCATCTGTCTGTCCCCCTGTCCGTCTGGCGGTATGTCTTGGTCTGTCTGGCTGTGTGTGTGGTTATGTGTGTGTGTGTGTGTGTGTGGCTGCGCCATCAGTTGAGTCGCTATGAAGACGCGTGCCACCTGTGTGAGAGCACATTCTCCGCCTCTGAGAGCAACCACGCTGCACCCGCTGCTGCAGCGGGCGCGAGCAGCAGCAAGGGGCACCTGGTGTGGCGGTGGGCAGTGGTGGGGCGGGCGCGGTTTGGACAGGGGCGATTGGAGGATGCGATCGAGCAGCTGGCACGGCTTGACGGCCTGGCCCTGGATCCTGAGAGCAGTGCTGGGGATGCTGCTGGGAGTGGAGGAGGCGAGGGTGGCGGTGGTGGAGCAGCAGCATGGCTGTACGCAGTTGCTGTTCCTGATACCACTGCGCCGTCTCAGTTCACGCGGTCCATCCAGGAAATGCTCCGACTCAAGGTGGGTGCTTCTGCTCTGCTCTGCTCTGCTTCCCCGCGCTGCTTGCTGCACTGTCCACTGATTGGGTAACACCTGTGGAAGGGGCTCCAGGTTCATGTGCCATTGTGCTGCTCTTGTGCTGTGCGTCACCCTTGCTGCTCCTTCCAGGTTGGGAAGTCACAGGGCATAACAGTGCACGCCGTCACCACTGCCATCTGACAACCTGCGCTCGGTTCCCTTCCGTCACAGATCCCACACTGCTGATGTCCCTTCGTCACGGCTCCTCTCCACTTCTCACTGCTCCTCCCTCTCCTCTCCTCACTCCCTGCTGTTCCTTCTCCACGCCCGAATCCTTTCTCTCCTCTATCGCCCCTGCCCACAGGCAGCAGGCAACGAGGCATTTCAGGCGGGCAGGCACGAGGAGGCGGTGGAGCGATACACAGCCGCCATTACGCTGCCTGCGCTCGCTGCTTCGCGCCCCTTCTCCGCCGTGTGCTTCTGCAACCGCGCTGCTGCCAGCCATGCGGCGGGCAACATTGCAGATGCCATTGCGGACTGCAGCAGAGCCATCGCGCTCGATCCCTCCTATGCCAAGGTGCGCACACGTGTTGTCTGTCACACGAGCAAGGACAGACCAGTGCTGTCTCATGAGCAAGGACAGACCAGTGCTGTCTCATGAGCAAGGACAGACCAGTGCTGTCTCATGAGCAAGGACAGACCAGTGCTGTCTCCTCCTCTTAATACGTTTTGAACACTCTTTTCTCCGCCTTGCATCACCACTTCGCCTTCTCCCCCGTCTCCCTCACACACACCATGTCGCTTGCTTGCTCTGGTACCCATCACCTGAAACCCCCTTGTACTCATACACTGGCCCTCTGACCTCCCTGGGCGCCTCTCTGTGCCACCTGCCTCCTGCCATTTTGCCTAACTACCGTCTGCCGTGTGCGCCATCTCCTCACAGGCCATGTGGCGGCGCGCCACGCTGTGGGAGAGCGCACGGGAGTACGAGCATGCACTGGCAGACCTTGACCGCCTGCTGCTGCTCGTGCGCGGCAAGGCGTGCGGTGGCAGCGGCGGCAAGAGCGGTGGGAAGAGCGGGGTGGGCAGTGTGGTGGATGAGCGGCAGGTGAAGGAGCGTATGGGGCGCGTGCAGAAGGAGGTGCAGCACGAGCAGCAGCCCGACCACTACCTCATGCTGTACGTACGCCCTCCCATCGCCTTCCTTGCTCACATGGCCTGTTTTGCATTATTCGTTGAGCATCGGCTTTGGGGCTTACACTTAATGAAACAGCCATGTCCGCATTGGGTCTTGCTTGGTTGGTACTTTCCGTTTCTGATGGTGTCTGTCGATGATCTTGTTCTTCTTTGAACATTTGTGTGTGGGCTGTGTGTGTGTGTGGCAGGGGCATGGACCATGTATGCACGGCAGCAGACGTCAAGAAGGCGTACCGCAAGGCAGCCTTAAGGCACCATCCGGACAAGGTAACATCCTCTTCTCCGCTGATTAGTGGATTGCTCTCGCACTGCATACCGTGCCACATGCAGCCTCGTCCTCGTGTGCTCTACTGGCTCTTGTGTTCAGCTCATGCTTCCTTGCTCTCTGTGCCGGATTGTGTGTTTTTCCCATCTTTTCCTCCATACGCATCTCTCTCCGTGCCCCTCCCACCCTGCCTCTCTCTGTTCTGCAGGCGGCGCAGCTGTTGTTTCCAGGAAGGGGCGATGCGGATGGGTGGCTGAGCAGGGAGCTGGGGGAGGAGATACAGCGCGATGCGGACCGGCTCTTCAAGGCCATTGGCCACGCCTACAACGTGCTCTCTGATGAAACCAAGGTGCTCAGCTCCCGCCTCCACCTCTTTCGCTATTTCCCTTGCCTCCTCCCCTGCTCCTTTCCTCTTCCCCACACTCCCTCCTCCTCCCCCCAGCCCAACCTCTCTCAGCAACATTTTACTTACCACTTTTTGTGACACTTGTACGCCTCTCTCCGTGCTTATCCATGTATGTGCCATTCCTTTCTCATAGTAGTTTCCCTAACTGCTGGCCTTTGTCCGTACCTGTACGGTTTGGTTTTCACTTAATGCCATTCATTTCAGAGGATTGAGTACGATGCACAGGAGCGGGTGCGGAAAATGCGGTCTCGGTACTCATATGCTGATGTATCCGCAGCTGCGGCAGCTGCCGCAGCGTCTGCTGGAGCAGATGAGGTATTCGGGTCATCATTTGGATACGGTGGGCGCGGCAGCAGCAGCCACAAAAGCCGATGGGGCAATGAAAGCTCATGGGAGCGGCGACAGGTGGGTTCCTTCTTAGCTCCTTGGCATGTTCGCATGTTTCTGAGATATGTTTTCTAAACCATGTTTTTCTTCTCGTTGCCTTTTACAATGCTGCATCTTCGCTTCACACTTTTGCGGTGGTGCTGTGGCTGGCCTTGCAATGCATCAGGACTATTCCGGGGCTAGTACCCGCAGCGGTGCTTCCACCCGTGGAGGGGGCACTGGAGATAAGGCAAGGCGAAGCAACCAGGAAGCACACTCAAGCACTCGGCCCCAGCAGCAGCAACAGCAAACCCACTGGAGCGAGCGGGCGACAGGTGGGGGGAGCAGCAGGCGCAATCAGAATAACGCGCCACGACATGCTGGTGGTGCTGCGGCCAATGGTGCTGGTAACAGTGGTGGCGGTGGTGCTGGTGGAGGCAAGCGTGGTGAAAATGCCAAAGGGGGTTCTGGAAACAGGTGGGAGAGACGGCGGGATTGGGAGGGTGAGATGTATGACGACGACTATGAGAATGTAGACGACTACAGCTTCTATGACTATTGATCCAAGCAATAGCGGATGTACTGTTCGAACTAGAGGGACATGTTTCTGTCAGCTTTGTGGTTCAAGGATTGCTCTCCTCAGCTTGAATTATGTTATTTAGGTGAATTAGTTCTTCACTGTGTAGTTTTGTAACAAATTTTGAAAATGTAGTGGGGCTTTTCTGTGTGCTGTGTTGGATGTCAAGACACGTGGGTCTCCACATCTCCACGTCACTGTGGTCCCACGCATGCACCACCCGAAATTGCTCTGTGGGGTCAGAACCGTCGATCGGAAAGCTTCAAACCAAACTCGCTAGAAAGTAGACACGCTGTCCGCAGCAGGTTTTCAGCGAATTCGCCCGGCGCATGGAGAGCGACCTCACTTCACTTCCTGGGTTCAGGGGTCGGCTCCTCACCTCCAGCATGATCGAACCAGGGGAAATACCCCCCGAGACCGCTCGCAATCGGTGATCTACCCACCTGGTGTTGGTGACTCTGCTGGCGCAAAAGTGGTCCGAAATATCTTTCTTTCAGAAGATTTTCGCCATTCCATCCAACCAAGCCCCATCAGGCGTGGGGCATTAGTATGTGTGTGGAATGGCCCTGCCCTGCTGGATTTCGGCCTCTGTTTTGCTGCAACTGCTGTGCGCAACCGATTGAATATCTTGTGAGCTCCCCGACGGAGCGGAATTGGCGAGATCAAGCGGGCTGCTATCGAGCATGCGCGCTCAACTCGCGCCCATTTTCCACACCGAATTTACCTCCGCGATCCTTAGCGCTTCGACCAACCGGAACGGTTTGTCCGCGACATCTACGGCTAGTAGGCGCCCCGTTATAGGCGTATCGCGACGTGCGTTATTGCCCGTGAGCGTCAGCAGGCAGCGAGTGGTGTGCGAAATGTCGGACGCGGTGGTCAACGGCTTGGCGGGGGCGTGCGGCGGAATCCTCGCGCAACTCGTCACGTACCCGCTGCAAGCCGTGCGTTTTTCTGGAGCCTTGCAGCTCAAACCGCAGCTTTGCTTGGCCTCGTGGGCTACAATTTGCGCAATTTAAAGCCCTAGCTGGCCCAGGCCACACCGTCGCAACTGCGCATTCCGCGCCTTTCCGGCAGCCTGGATGCGTTACCGCTAGCAATTCAGCAATCAACAAACTCAGGGGTGTGTTTCGTGCGTGGTGGTGCCGTGGGTGTGATCTGGCAGGTGAACACGCGGCAGCAGACGCAGCGACGCTTGCTAGCGAGGGAGCAGAGAGACGGCGCGCATGGCGCCGGGGAAGGCGCCGCTCCGAGTGCGAACGGCGCCGCTGCGGCCGGGACGGGTCAACGGCGCGCTGTGGCGCACAAGAGCACGCAGCAGGAGATGTGGGAGGTGAACGCCCGCAATTCCCCTTCCAGTTCCCCTTTTCTCCCGCGTCCCCGCAAGCCTCCTCCGCGCGCCAACTCCGCGCGCCACGCGCATCTGCGCACGCTGCCCGTCCCTGCTCTGCCCTCTCACCTCTCATCTCTGTCCCCCTCCACCCCCCGCTTCCCCCCCCTCCTTTCCCCCCCCCCCCCCCCCCCCCCTCCCCCCCGCGCGCGTGCCACCCTTCCGCTCTCCCCTGCTGCACGTGCAGATCTTCCAGCGGGAGGGCTTGGCGGGCTTGTACCGGGGGCTGGAGCCGTCGCTCGTGGGCACTGCGTGCTCGCAGGTGTGCTTCCCCTCCCTCCCCTCGCGCCGTTCCCATTTGGTCCTTCTCCCTCCCCTCCAACCCTTCACGCTTGCTAGCATAACATCGTTCCCGTTCTTCGTTCCGCTCCTGCCACCATCAAACCTCAGGCCAGGCTGTTTCCATTCCTTCTCTTTTTTCCCCTCCCCCCTCCCCCATTCCCTCCCCCCTCCTCCTCCCTCCTTCCCCCCCCCTCCCGTCCGCTTCGTGGTGCGTGCAGGGCGTGTACTATTTCTTCTACCAGCTATTCCGCAGCCACGTGGAGCAGTTAACAGCGGTGCGCAAGGCGCAGGGCGTGGGCAGCGGGCAGGTCACCATGATCACATCGCTGCTCGTCGCTGCGCTTGCCGGGTGCGTCCCCTGCTGCTGCTGCTGCTCGCGTCGTTCTGTGCGACCACTTTCTTCCCTAACCTCACTAACACATCGCGTTCTGGCTCCTCCCTTTTTTGCTTATCCCCGTGCTCCCTGCGTGCATGTGCATGTGCAAGTGTGTGTGTGCACGTGTATGTGTGTGTGCATCGGTGTGCATGTGCATGTGCATGTGTGTGTGTGCATGCGTGAGCATGTGTGTGCATGTGTGTGCATGTGCATGTGCATGTGCATGGCACCAGGTCAGTGAACGTGCTACTGACCAACCCCATCTGGGTCATCGTCACTCGCATGCAGGTATGCTGCCCACTTCACCTTCCCCTTCACCTTCCCCTTCACATTCCCCCTCCCCTTCCCCTTCCTCTTCACCTTCCCCTTCACCTTCCCCTTCCCCTTCCCCGTCCCCTTCCCCTTGCCCTTCCCCTTGCCCTTGCCCTTGCCCTTGCCCTTACCGTTCCCCTTCCCCCTTCACTTTCCTTTCCCTTTCCGTTTCCATCCCTGCCATGAACCTTCCCTTGTGCCTCTCTTTTCCGCTTTCCCTGCAAATGCCCCTCCCACTACCCAGAATTCTTGTCTACTGTTTCAACTCCTCTCTCCTCCCTCCCTCCCTCCCTCCCTCCCTCCCTCCCTCCCTCCCTCCCTCCCTCCCTCCCTCCCTCCCTCCCTCCCTCCCTCCCTCCCTCCCTCCCTCCTCTCTCTTTCCTCTCAATCTGCCCACCCTCACACCTCACGCGTTCCCCCTATTTCCTGCACCACCCGTCGCTGTCGCCTCTCATCCTTGCCACCTGCCAGACCCAGACACAGGGCCTGCCGCCGCCCATCTACATCGCCCGCCGCCCAGTCTCCTCCCAGCCCACCAGTGCGTCGCCGTCCACACATACTGATGATGATGCTGCAGGGGCTGCGAGTGATACCCGGGGCAAGGAGGCAGTGGCACAGCGGTCAGAGGGAGTGGGCGGGGCGGGAGGGGTGCTGGTGAAGAGAAACACAGCAGCAGGCGCAGAGAGGGGTGCAGGGGGTGTTGTGTCGGGATCAGGCTCAGGCACATGTGATGCCACAGGCGGGGGTGGCAGTGGCGGTAGTGACTGGGGGGGAGGAGCAAGCGGAGGAGGAGGGGGGGGTGGGGGGAGCGGTAGTGGCGGAGGCAGTGGGAAGGGCGGAGGGGGTGGAGGGAGATGGGGCGAGGAGGGGAGTGGGGAGGGGCCGTTGCGGGCACCGAGGAGTGGAGGGCAGCAGCTGGTAGGGCGGCCTCATGGCGTGCTGGAGACGGTAGGTGCTGTGATGTGAAGGTTGGGGGGTGGGGGGGGCGGAGGGGAAGGGAGGGCGTGGGTCAGCTGCACTTGAGCTGCTGCATGGAAAGCACATCGGGGCTCTCTTGATCTTCATGCTTTCTCCTCTCCGTGCTTCGTGACTGCTTGTGCATGTGTGTGTGTGTGTGTGTGTGTGCGTGTGTGCATGTGTGTGTGTGTGTGTGCATGGGTGTGTGTGTGTGTGTGCATGTGTGCATGTGTGTGTGGCAGATATGGGAGCTATTTGAAGAAGCGGGCATTCTTGGATTCTGGAAGGGAGTCTTTCCAACCCTCCTCATGGTAAGGCCACCTCTCTCCCTCTTTCCTCTTTTCCAGATTTCCACATGTCCCGTCTCTCGCCCTCTTCCCCTGTTTTCTGATCCACACTTCCTTCCCGTTTACCCGCTGCCTCACGCGCTTGCACATTCCAGCAAAACCCCCCGCCGCACCCCCTCCTCCTCCTTATTGTGTCCCTTCCATTCACCACCCTTTACCTCCCCGTGCATCCCATGCCATGCCATGCGATGCCATGTGTTGGTCCTCCCTCTTCTCCCCCCCACCAGGTAACCAACCCGGCCATCCAGTTCATGATCTACGAGACACTGCTGGCGCGCATCACAGCAGCGCGCCCGGCTGCCAGGGGAGGGGCCAAGTCCGCCACCTCCACAGAGGTCCGTGCACCTCCACAGAGGTCCGTGCACCTCCACAGAGGTCCGTGCACCTCCACAGAGGTCCGTGCACCTCCACAGAGGTCCGTGCACCTCCACAGAGGTCCGTGCACCTCCACAGAGGTCCGTGCGCCTCCACAGAGGTCCGTGCGCCTCCAAAGAGGTCCGTGCGCCTCCACAGAGGTCCCTGCACCTCCACAGAGGTCCGTGCACCTCCACAGAGGTCCTTGCACCTCCACAGAGGTCCGTGCACCTCCACAGAGGTCCGTGCGCCTCCACAGAGGTCCGTGCACCTCCACAGAGGTCTGTGCACCTCCACAGAGGTCCGTGCACCTCCACAGAGGTCCTTGCACCTCCACAGAGGTCCTTGCACCTCCACAGAGGTCCGTGCTCCCTGCTCTCTCTCCCTGCTCTCTCTCCCTGCTCTCTCTCCCTGCTCTCTCTCCCTGCTCTCTCTCCCTGCTTCTCCCTGCTGCTCCCTGCCCCCTGCTTGTTCCTTGCTCTCTGCTGCTTGCTGCTTGCTGCATCTCGCCGTTGCTTGCTTCTCCGCAGTTGAGGGTGGTGCTGTAAGTGACCTGCGCAGCATGGAAAGGCCGTGTGCCAGCGAACGTATCGGCAAGGGGGGGACCTCAAGAATGTTTCCCCACCACATGTTGTGCCCCTTTTGCCAATCCTTGTGCACCACCCCCCCTGTGAGCAGATCTTTCTGGTGGGGGCACTGGCCAAGATAGGAGCCACGCTCGCCACATACCCGATGCTCGTCGTAAAGGTGAGTGGGGGGGGGATGGGGTGTCTGCCAGTCAGCACACGGGATGAGAGGCCTAGGGTGGATTGAGTTGACGTTTTGTGTGTGTGTGTGTGTGTGTGTGTGTGTGTGTGTGTGTGTGTGCGTGTGTGTAATTTTTAGCTCTGCTTCCATTTCTTCTCTCCTTGCTCAGTCATTTCTCCTCTTTTCATCTTGTAATCTCACCTTCAAACCGCCAGCCCCCCCCTTCCCCTCCCCTCCCGTTTCCTGCTCGCCCTCTCGTTCGCTCAATTTCCCTCCCCCTCTCCCCCTCCCACTTCCCTCTTTGTGCAGTCGCGCCTGCAAGCACGTCACACGGCAGGGCAGCGTTACTCAGGTGTGTGTGCGCCTCTCCCTCCTCTGCCCTCTCCTCCACCACACCTGCTTTGCCACCACATTGCCTTCAATCACCTCTGCTCCTCCTCTTCATCTGTCATCCTCAACCCCCACTCCTCCCCTTCCCAACCCGTTCCAACCCGTTCCAACCCCTTCCAACCCCTCTGAAGCTTTTTCCAACCCTGCCTCTCCCCCATCCAGAACCATTCACCACCTCCTTCACCCACACCCCCCGCCCTCCCTTCCCTCCACTCCCCCTCCCGCGCGCACAACCCACTCCCGTCACCACCCTCGCAACAGGCATGTGGGATGCAATATTCAAGATAGTGCGCCACGAGGGCGTGCGGGGGTTCTACCACGGGATGGGCACCAAGATGGCTCAGAGTGTGTTTGCCGCCTCCCTGCTCTTCCTCACCAAGGAGGAGATCGTCAAGGCTGTGCGCGTGGTGCTCGACCGCCGCGCCCGCCTCCTGCTGCACCCCGCTCAGAGGCGCGCCAGGGCCTTGTGATGAGGGCGGGTTGAGGGGTGGAGAAAGGGAAGAGTGGGGCAGGGAAGAGTTGTGGAGGAGGGGAAGTGGAGGGCGGGGCGGGGGGGGGAGTGGTGAAGTGTGGGTGGGTGGGTGGCTCGGTGGTGCAGGGAGGTTTCGGTGACAAGGTGTGAGGAACAGGACGGGTGGCTGTGGCATGAAAGGCAAGCTGTGGTTTGTGCAACGCCGCGCATTGAGGAGGGGTCGTTGTCAGGAGTTGTTTCAAGAGGTAAAGGCGCTGTCAACACAGTTCACAACTGCTCTGCAGCCATTTCTAATGCGGCATGTGGGAGCAGGGCAGGGCAATTGGGGTGAATGAATGAGTATGATAGCAGTGTGTAATTTCCATGCAGGGCAGAGCAGCTGAGGTGACCACACGGTCTACATTAGGGCTGTGCAGTCCCATTTTGATCTTCCACTCACATGCGCCCCTGACACCAGCACATGCTGTGCTGGGATGGCTTAGCTAGTCGTGCGTTTTAACAGGCACGGCCTACTCAAAAGTGCATGCATGCCCAGCTCACACACGCTCGATTGCTGTGTTTTGAGTTGATGTTTCAGATAATGACATCACATGTGACATGCACAGATAACCATCCACCATATGTAAGAAGGGAGGAGGGATGGAGGGACAGGTACCGTACCATCCCCCTGACTGTGCCTCAGATTCACAGCCTTGGGACATGTTCCTGTGATCTGCTGACGTATCCAAGAATGATATACCATAATACCCCGGATAGTAGCGCATATGCGCTTATAATAAATTCATTTTTTTTAGGGGGGGCGCTTGTAATTGAGTAACGGCCATAAGGGCCGGCACTTTTATAAAGACAACTGAATTTCAATGTAAAGGATATCATTCTGAAACCCTCAATAAGGCGAATACAACACTGTACCATGCGCGCGGGGTCGTGCATGGAATGACAGCGAAACTTGCCACGGTTCGATTTCCCACCGCACAAAACCCGTCCCGGTGCAACGCACCTGCTAGCGCTGATGCAAAACCTGCCGTGCGGCCCAATCAGGTTGGCATGCGCTGCCAGGCAGGAGCATCTCGGCATAACCATCCAGAACGTGATGGAATCTGCCGTGCCAGCGCAGCATGGATGGTGCCCCCAACCCTCCTCTGCGGGTTGGGGCAGGGGTGTACGCGTCTCTCATCGACGAGGACCCCGAGCCGCAAACCAGAAGGGGTCCCCTTCAATCTCCCATTTCAACACCCATGGTTGCAGTTTTTTATTCCGTCTTCTTGTTCTCGCCCGCCTGGTTGCGGAAGCCATGGCGGAATTCACAGTCACTCATTTTCTCTTCAAGAAAAAACCTTCCAGTAGGCCCGCGTACCGTGTTACAGCTGACGGGTGGTATAGCCGCATACCTCCAGACCCTCCAGAGCCACCACAGCCTCCTGCGCCTCCTGCGCCGCCTGCTCCTCCGGCTCCTCCAGTGCCTCCGACTCCCCCTGCTCCTCCTGTTCCTCTGTCTCCTCCGTGTCCGGTGGCCCCTCACATCGACAACCACCTCGTGCTCACGCTCCTGCTCCCATCGGCGTTCGACGAGTATCTGTCGGAACCGGATTATGACAAGGGCCCCGATGTTGACGTACCCGCTCCAGCGCCAGCACCACGTTGGGGCCAGCCAGAAGATTTCACGTGGGACGAATCTGCAGTCGGCGCTGACGACGACGTGCAAGACGCCGAGGAAGATTGGCGCGCTGAGGGCGACGCCGGCGCCGAGGGTGGCACTGAGGCCGACACCGAGGCCTCTACTGAGGCCGGCACTGCTAAGGATGTGTTTCCCGAGGGTGCGCCGGGCGGTGACGACGATGACGGCGTCGAATACTGGTCACGTGATGGCCTCCCCGAGAAACTCCCGATACCAACTTATCCTCCACGTAATCGAAAGCGACCTCACCCTTCTTCACAGAACCGTGATTCTCGCCCCCCCTCACCCAGGCACAAGCCCAACGACCACTAGCGTCAGGCCTATACTGCCGCCGAGAAGTTGAACTGGGTCGCGCAGCTGGATGTGGCGGTGTCGGTGCGCGCTCTGGCTCGCGAGAGTGGCATCCACCGCAAGTGCCTCGCCAACTGGAAGCGTGCCGCTGATTTCCTCAAGGAAGCCCACTCTGCCAGGTGCCGCATGCACGGTCGCGGCAGGGCGTCGTGGTACCGCCCGATGGAGATCAAGGTGTATGAGCGACTATTCGACTGGCGACGCAAGGGAACTGCGGTGTCCGTCGGCTGCCTGCAGGAGTGGTCCCGGGAGTTCATGAAGATTCTCTACCCCCTCGTGAAGTGGAAAGGGAGCCAACGGTGGTCGGACCGGTTCCGTCGGCGGTGGAATCTCAGCGTGCGAATGAAGACGAAGGTCGCCCAGAAAACCGCCGCCCGTAAGAATCATTTTTATTCTCTATGCCATGTGTATGCACTTGTTACTCACTAACAGTAACTGTGCTCAACCGCAGATGTCGCGGAGAAGTGCAAGAAGTTCTGGCAATTCGTCCGTGACAAGCGTCGGGAGCGCGGCATCGAGACGACGTGGATTATCAACGCCGACCAGACGCCGCTGTGGCTGGAGATGCCCGCCACCACTACCGTCGATCAAACCGGTGTTCGGTCGGTGCCCATCAGGAGTGCGGGGTACCAGAAGGAGTGCTGGACTCGTACCGCGGTCACCTCACTGATGGGGTGAAGGAGAAGTTTCGCGAGCTCAACTGCGTGCCGGCGATCATCCCGTCTGGCTGCACGGCGGAGGTACAGCCCCTCGACGTCTGCATCAACAAGAGCTTTATGGCGAGCGTCCGCCAGCAGTATCAGAAGTGGTTTTAGGAAGAAGGCCAAGAACAGCTAACCAGAGCAGGTATGATAGGCACGCGAGTCCCTATCTTACCGTAGATGATTGTCCCCCCTTTTGTTGCGCTAACTAAATATTGTGTGATTCTGTTGGTACAAGGAACTTGAAGAAGCCATTTCCAGAGGTGGTCGTGAGGTGGATCTCACGGGCCTGGAAAGCAGTGCCCGCGGACCTCATCAAGCGCGCCTTCCTCACCTGTGGCATCAGCAACGCGCTTGACGACAGTGAGGATGGCCTCGCCATGGCGCACAGGCGGAGCCAGCTGACCGCGGAGGTGGACGTCGATGATTCCATCATCGCCGATGGCTTCTTTGGCAACAACTACCAGGAGCCCGAATTCGACGAGGAGGAGTAGATTTTATAGGTAGAAAGGCTGTAGTGGGGTAGCCCATAAGGGGTACAACCCAATTAGGGTTAGTACTTGTACCAAATTTCTGCTCAATGCATTTCATTCTCGTTCAGTATTCTAACATGGTTTCATAGACGGTCCTGTTCTAGGACCGATTTTTTTTTTAGGGCCCACCACAGAGCGCTGCCCCACTAGCTGCCCTGCTGCTCTGCCCTAACTGTCGCGCCACCCTGCTGGCCGCTGTGCCGCCCTTAGCAGCCCGCGCGCCGCCCTTTGCAGCCTGTCGCGCTGCCCTTTGCAGCCCGCGCGCTGCCTTTAGCAGCCCGCGCGCCGCCCCGGCAGCCTGCGAGCTGCCCCTGCAGCCCGCGCGCCGCCTCTAGCAGCCCGCGTGCCGCCCCTGCAGCCCGCTCGCCACCACTGCTGCTCTAGGCCGGCTTATACTGCCCTACCTGTTTCCCGAGCTGTCCGCCTTTGCCACAGTCGAGGACCTCGTTACCCACCTCCGCAATAGCGACGCTCGCTACCGCGCTGCCCTCCCAGCAGAGTTCCTTGACAGGAACCCACCCCCGATAGTCACCCGCCTCCCTGACTCTCTTCGCGCTGTCAGGGACCACTTTCTCGCACTTGACCCCACTGACCTCACTGGCGACCTGCTCGAGCAGCACCTCCTTGCAGCTGAGACTAGCGTAGTCGCTGTAGGTGCCGCTCGTGGCACTCCTCGCACGCCCTTCTTTGAGGGGTGTTCCCCCTCCCCCCTTGCCCCCTCCTACGCCTCTGCTACTGCTGTTGACATCCTTGGTGCTGAGGATGTCGGGGCCGCTTCTGCTATTAGTGAGAAGCGCCGCAGTAGCAAGGGCAAGGGTGGTAGGAGTGGTGGCGGTAGCAGCAGGGGTGGTGGTGGTGGCGGCAGTGGAGGTGGCGGAGGTAGCGGAGGTGGTGGCAGTGGTGGGTCTGGTGGCGGGAGTGGGGGCCTTGGTGGCGGTAGTGGTGGAGGCGGTGGGGGTGGCGGTGGTGGCAGTCAGGGTGGAGCTGTTCAGAGGGGAGGTTCTAGCGGTGGCCAAAGGCAGCAGCAGCAGCGTCGGAGTGAGACCCCTTCGCCCCAACAGCTTCGTGAGTGGTTTGCTCAGCGTGGGGCGTCTTGGGGTAGTGTTCGCTGCCCGTATGTCATTCGCACGGGTGACCATGCTGGTCAGACATGCGGGAAGTTTCACTCTCAGCACCGCTGCTTCTCCCGCCTAGACGATGCTTGGCGCGCGGAGTCTGGTAATGAGGCTGAGCGCCCCCGCTGGTCAGAGCTGCTTAGGTCTGGTGTTGATATCTTTGCTCTTGACTATGATGCTATCCTTCCTGCCATGTATGCCTTGTCTGATAGTGCTGAGGGTGACTGTTACTTGTGTGTGCCGCCCGACCCAGGTATAGAGGCTGCTGCTCTAGGTGCTAGTGAGTCTGCTCTCCCTGGTACTGCGCTTGCTGAGGCCTTGCACACCTTTACGCTTGACTCAGGTGCTTCCCGCTGTTTCTTTCGCGACAGCACCACCCTCACTCCACTCCCTGTACCTGTTCCGGTCAGACTGGCTGACCCCTTAGGGGGCCGAGTTCTTGCCCGTTCCTCCACTGTTCTCCCGTGCCCGGCGGTTCCATCCGGCTCACTGTCAGGTCTCCACCTCCCCTTATTCTCTATGAACTTGGTGAGTACCGCTGCCCTCCAAGATGCGATGGTCACTACCACCACTCATGGGGGTCAGCGTGTGTCGATCTGCACGTGTACAAGGACGGGCTG